GGTTTAAAGGTTATTTCCACCAAGGGGAGAGGGTTTTTTTTTCCCAAGACCTGCAATGAAAGCAATAAATAAATAAATATTTAAAAGAATCATAAAAACCCAACCACAGTTTAAAAACCACGAAGAAACGAACGGGGCTCGAACGACAAGAAGGAAAATATAAAAAATAAAACACAACAAAACAACGACACGAAACGGAATGAAAAATCCCATCATCGACAGCAAGGAAAAGAGGAAAAGCCTTTTTTGTTTGTTTTTTTGGAGTCAAACCGCATCTCAACACACCTCTCCGGAGATCCTTTCACGAAAGGAGAGAGCTCAGGTCGTGCAGCCCCCCCCCCACGGATGCAAAGCCCCCCCGGGATGCAAAGCACCTCTGGGCTGTGGCAACACAGCATTCGCCTTGCTCTGCTCTTCCCCCGAACCAGCAGGGCTTTGGGGAGGTAAAAACTCGACAGTAACGCGACCCAAGGGCTCTTCAAGCAGGCGGCGAAAGTAAAGAGGAAGGGCAACACAGCATTCGCCTTGCTCTGCTCTTCCCCCGAACCAGCAGGGCTTTGGGGAGGTAAAAACTCGACAGTAACGCGACCCAAGGGCTCTTCAAGCAGCCGGCGAAAGTAAAGAGGAAGTTTAGTCCTTTTGTCATCTGCGAGGAAGCGCCAAAAAAAGGGGGGGGAGAGGGGAAAAAAAATAAGGGGGGGTGGGAAGGGATCGGTGCAACTTCGCAAATCGCCGGTTCATTCAGTCCGGGAGAGGCAGGGAAAGGAGGGAGGGAAAGGAGGGAGGGAAAGGGGGAGGGAAGGGAAGGAGGAGGGGAAATCCAGCGGCCGCAGAAAATGATCAACCTTATGTAATAACCTCACGCGCATCCAAACGCGTTAAAACAAACCAGCCCGGCGCCAAAGCGGCACGGCCTCCCGGGAAGGGTGGGTGGTTTTATTTTCTCCCCTAAGCCCCGTCCCCCCCGTCCCCTTCCCAGCTGAAGGCAAGAGCGAGGTTGCAAGGACAACAACTTTGCGCATTTTGCCGCCTCGTGCGATTCAATCAAACACCCCCCCTTG